CCAAGTAGAGCAAATTCAGACAACATGGGTGGTCAGACTTCTAACAAGAGTCTAGAGATAATTTTTTTCGTTGATGCTGTGGTGGGCTTGATAACCCCATTTCATATGCGTGTCCTGTGAAGAGGATTCATGGAGGTGTTTGGATCCAAGGCTCTATTTTTCCATTGATAAAAGACATGCAAGAGAAAAGCAAGCCCGTGAAAAGTAAAGGTAATCCGTCCAACTCCATGCACAGACGTTTTTGGAAGCAGTTGTCCAAAGCTGCAAAAGGAGAGAGTCTGGCTTTGCACCTGTGTCAGACTAGGAGGATTTACACGGTCGGGTAGTGTTGCTGAATGGTGGTTTCCTGAGAGGTCGTGGTCAGGAGGCTTGGAGTTGAGGGAATTCAACTCCAGTCTTTAGCCCCTGCAATCCTGAGAAAGCTAATGGAATTGCCTCTAGAGGAAGGAGGGAATGTGAGAATAGTCTGCAGATACATCTAAAGACTTGCAGAAAGGGTGGGCGTAAGTTCTTTTCCCAACTGCTGGAGATAACAGAAAACATGAGGATGTGTTAAATAAGCCTTTTGTAAATATCTGCTGTCACTGAGAAGTGACTGAGGTCAATTCTTGGGCAAGTAACTGCACACCAAGCTAAATATTTGTCTGCAAATGTGATGGAAGTTATGTTTGGCAACGGATTTTTAGATAATTGGAGAAATAACTATGTTATGCGAACCTAAGGCTACTGCAGCCCCCAGCAGCAAGTAACAGGAAACAACTTGCTGAAATGTGCAGAGGAGAAAGCAGGAAAGAGCTTCTGACCCCCAGTGGCATGACACAAAACCAAGGTGCCAAGGATGAAGAAAGAGAGGAGAAGCAGATAGCTCTGAAAGTGTATGAGAGAAAAGATCCCTCAGTTTGCTCTGTAGTCTGGAAAACACTGCAGCCAACTTTTCTTCTGCTGGTACTAGGTTTATCTGACTTCTGGGTACTCTGCTGCTGCTTGAGATGTAGTTTCTCTCTACTGAATGTTTTTCCTAATCTTCCCCATACCCCACCTTAAGGTTTTGTGGAAGGGGTAGAGAAAGAGAAATGGAGAAAACAGATTTTTCTCTTGCAAGCATTTGAGATAGAATTAAGACCCATTGAGCCCAGACAGCAATAAAATCTTGTATCCAGTTATCTCTGGGCTCTCACAGAGGTTTTCTTACACTGGGTCTGGAGCTGCTGGAAGAATAGAGCCTCTCAGCTGAGTGCCAAGACGGGCAACACATCTGCTTGGAGGATGTAGCTGGGATCTGAACCCCCCACTGTGTTGTTCAGTACTGTCTCTTCCTTTGAAGAGCTGAGTGGAGGTTGAGTTGGTCCTGTCCTTCCTCCCTGGGAGGGGAGAAGCACTTTCCAGCCTTAGCTGGAGTCAAAGCCCCATCTTTAAAAAAAGAACCAAAGACAACCTGCGAAACTGCAGACCAGTCAGCCTTACCTCTGTGCCAGGTAAAATCCTGGAACGGATTCTCCTGGCAGCTGTGCTAAGCCACATAGAAAGTAATCAAGTGGTTGGTGACAGCCACCATGGCTTCACTAGGGGCAAGTTGTGCCTGACTAATTTAGTGGCCTTCTACAGCAAAGCTACAGCGCTGGCTGACACGGGAAAGCAATGGATGTCATTTTCCCAGACTTGTGCAAGGCGTTTGACACTGTCCTACATGACATCTCTCAGCCGCTGAGCTCGTTTCTGATAAATATCCCCTGCCAGTCTCACAGAGATATTAATTTCCCTATCCCCTGTTCCCCACTTTCAAAGCCAAGCATGGAGGTCTGTATGCATTACCTCCTCCAGTGAGGCACTGAAAAAACAGGCACTCTCTTGTTTCCCACTGCACTTGAGAGCTGCACCAAGCCAGAGGTGAAAACAGTTCTCTGCAGTATAGGAAAATATGCCAAGGCAGAGCTAAATTACTCTCCAGCACTCAACAGGGAGCTGACTGGACAGGAGCCTCTCCTGGAATTGTGTTGCAATGACATAACTTTTTTCTCAGGCCTGGGAAAATGCTGGAATGATCTGTTTCTTGGCCTTTCCCTTCTCCATGCCCGTTAAGTCCAGGGAGCCAACTCCCAGCTCCCAAGGGGGAGCACCGTGGTTGGGAGCTGTTCCAGGTTCCACCTAACTGGATAATACCTCCAGTGGGGAGGAAATTGCAAGTACTGTGCTTGTGATGGTGGAACAAGATCATAGAATCACAGACTGGCCTAGGCTGGAAGGGACCTCAGAGATCATCTAGTCCAAGCTCCCTGTCATGGGCAGGGACGCCTCTCAGCAAGATGTAGAGACATGTTAGTGATGGATTTCTCACTAGAGAGGACAGTGGTACCAGTCATTTGGTAAAGTGGCTATGTGGTTAGATGATAGGATTTTGGTAAAAAAATTCACTTTCATCACCTGGCCTGTGTAGCATAAGAAAGTCGGTGCTCCCCTCACACATTCAGTGTGTGTTAGGCAGCAGGAGTGAGAGCAACAGTGAGGGGCAGAAGAGAAAGGCAGGCTGACTGGAGTCAAGGCTGTCTTTGCTGTGCCTGGACATGGACATGATCTGTGCGTCAGACTAGAAGACAGCAGCAGCAGCAGAAGCTCCTCATCACAGCCTCTCCACAGGTGTGGCGAGGGAGTGATTTCCTTCCACCAGCTGCATCTGTCTAGGACATTGCATTGTGCAATTAATTATTTCCCTGGATGATCAAGCGAGGGGTCAGGGCCCGTCCTGGTGTACCATGGTTGAATGATAAGTGCCTCCCAGCATGTTACTGTTGGATAATCGCAGACTACTCTTGTATGTTTTCCTCCTGGGCCTTTCACACCACCCTGCACCTCCTCTCAGCCCCGCCAGTGCAGACACACTGCCTTCCTATGGACCTGCAAGGATCACTTCTGCCTCCTCTCACAGGTCTTTCTCTTGAAGGACAAGTTACTGTTGATTGTCCAGCAATGATGCAACTTCTGTGCGGAAGACAGACAAGAACTCTGCAGTCACTGAGATTGAGCTACAGGGAGAAGAGTTCTACCTACAGACTTTATCCCATCAGAAACAAATACAGTGCAAGGGGAAGACAAGGAAAATGAAGGGTCTTGGCTCGCTGCCTCTCTTATTGCCTTCTGACTGCTGCACGTGGCTTCCCACAGCAACGTGAGAAGCAACCTGCTGCAGAGCAGCTTAACACATGACCACTGGCCTACGGAAATGGTCCAGCAAAACAGCCATGGGCAGCACTCCAAGCTGCTCTGCCTGCAGCATCCAGGGTGCCATGGGTAGACAGGGGAGCAGCAGGAGGGGGACACAGCAGCTGATGGGGAAGATAGAGAGTAACTCACTCGGTCCCCAGCAGTGGGGCCCAGCTTTCTGAGGCACACACAACTGAGGTGCCTGCTGCGGTGGGGCTCCCAGCCTGCCCCACCACCACCATTGGAAGAAGGAAGCCTTGGAGACCCTCCTGCTTCATGGAACTGAGACGCACTGGAGAAACAGCCTCCTTCACTGGCATCCCTCCACATGCATGCATGGTCCCCCACAGAAAAACATGACAACACGCCTGCCCCGACGTTGTGCGGGACGAGCTGCATGCCCAGTTGAAAAAATTGATTTATTTGACTTTGCTGTATGATAAAAGTGTCCTACGTGGTTATAATGAAACCGAGGCATTCAGCATGAAGTCATTACTAGTGGCATATTTAGCTTTCATGCAGACAGGCAAGTTTCTGTATTTTCAGCACAGACAAGTTGCTGCTCACAGAATTGCTGCATAGTGATAAGAGGATTACACCTTGCTTATGACACTGAGATACAGATAAACAGTCACCAGGTACAACCATAGCTCTAGTTTTCCTTTTATTTGTAGTAATTTTGTAATGCAAAACAAGACACTGAAAGGTAAAAGAAGCACTAAAGGTAGCAGGAGTAATAGCACAAGAAGAAGAAAATCCCCAGCAAAACAGATCTCTGAACGCCATAAAAAAAAAGAGAGAGAGAGAGAGAGAGAGAGAGCAGGGAAGGGTGTCTCTAAGGCTACAAAAGTGTAACTGTTCTAATATGGTTACATGAATAAACATGAAAACTAACTTTTATCTGAATAAAAAGTCATCAGGTTTTCAAAGTCTGGAGGGAAATCTAAAACCCAGATGTCTCAGAACAGGAGGAGGAAAGGAAGTGGGGTTGGTAATGATTGGAAGAGGACTGGGTTAAATAACAGTGGCATTATGAGGCAAAACAGAACAAATTTAGGACACGCCACAATTCAGGTTGCTTGGGTAACTAACTGCAACGAGGAATGGTAACACTGTCTTCTAATACTCTGTGTTACAGAGAGAAGCCTCAGTTAGCATACGGTATAGATCCTGCTCACGCAGATGGGTGTTGCATGAATGGTTCCATGCTGCAGAACAGTAACCTATCCAAATTCTTGAAGTGAGTGCTGCCTTGTGTTTCCTAGAATCACAACTCTTTAGAGCAGTTTAACTGTTTACTCTGATTAGTTTTGATGCTTCATCTCTACCCACCAATTTCTTTCTCATACCATAACAGATACAGGTTTAGGTACAATAAATTTGGCTCTTCTTCAGTTTTTCTACACTGCAGGCTATGGTTACATACATTGTCAATTACATGGAGTTGTATGGATCAGGATATGAATTTAACTGGTGTCAAAAATGTTTCAGTGGAGGAGAAATACTATTCCATAGTCACATAACTTGATTTATTGGGCCAAATGTTGTTCTGACTTGCCATATGGCATCTGAGATCAGATGCATTAAATGAAGCCACAGACAGGGCAGAACTGGGTCCTCACCTTCAGGAAGAGATACAATTAAGGCAAACGAGATCTAGCCCTTCCCTGGTTTGTCATAAGCTAATTAAAGTAGCAGAATAGTCCAATCAGGAATGTATTTGTATACCACAAATTTTTTTAAATAAAAAAAAAGCAAGGGCATTCTCATTTTGGGTGGCATACATTGTATTGATACTAGGTCTAAAGTATGCTACAGGTTTTGGAAGCTGGAGCTGTTCCTCCATTACAGGTTACTTCATCTGCCATAGAAAAAGAAACACACAATTAGAGGTACAGTCATAGATGACCTTCTCAGTCATTACAGGAAATTTTTAGCATTTTTAAGCATTCACTGAACACCCACTGCAGTTCATGGCTTTCAGCACTACCCGGACCAGGCCCACAGAAAAAGAAAAACAGATTCAACAAAAATAAATTGCCACTAGGTAGTACTGCTACTATTGCTTGTTTCTAGGTAGTACTTAATGTGGGCTAGAAATAGGATTAAATGTAATTACTTAAGTGTTCTCCCTAGGAGCGTGTGAGATTTTCTTAACTCCTTCTGCCTACCGACCTGTGGAACAGCGCATTGGCCACAGCCCCTGTGTACAAAGGGATGTCTCTTTGCTCTCTTCCAGGGACGTACATATACTGCGAAGGGCTTTCCCCAGCTGCATGGGTGCTTGTGCTGAATGTAGTCTTACTAGTTCCTCGGGTAGCAGCTCCTGGGCATTTGAGCAGGTGGCCTTTCTGATAGCCTGTCATGGTGCCGGGTTTGAAGACAAGGTGTCTTCAGCCTTGCCCGTGGAGCAAGACTGAAGAAACTTGTTCTGGGCATTTGTCTCTTTGTCATGTCTGCAAAGGTTGCTGCAGATCTGGGACAGTATCACGTCAGTATGTTTTTGAGTTACAAATGAAAATTTAAGTGTTGTTTCTTACCTTTCTTTGCAGCCATCTTCTCTTCCTCTTTCTTCTTCTCTTCCTCCAGAGCTTTCATTTTTGCATCATATTCATCAGCACGGGTCTTCCATTCATTTCTGTTGTTCAGCAGCCCATCAAGCATAGGTTGAATTTCCTCATGAAAACGGGAGAATTCCTAACCAAAACACACCTGTCAGTACAATGCAGCCCAGACACAGTGCTTGTCCACCATACCCCAGGATGGACCCCAACACTTCACCTCCCAGGCTGGCTTGCTCAGGGAGCACAAAGAGGGGTCATGCTGCAATGCCCTGGAGAGGGCAGCTGTGGTCTTCTCTACCTGTCTCTCTCCTCTTGAGTGGTGTTGCTGCACCAGGGCCCAATGACCTGGGTTCTGAGCCGCTGCTTACCTTATAGACAAACGTGCACACAAAGTCGATGAAACCCACTTGAAGTTTCGGAAGCTCAGCAGCTTTCCTCCGGTCCATCATGGGCTGTGGGAGGACACAAGTTCACCATGATTTATGAAAACACTTCACTGAAAAACACACCTCTATTTTTTACCCCAAACAGCCTTGTTATGTCAGCTTGGAAGTTCTGCCATTCCATCCACAAAAGCTGTCCATCACAGCCCTTCTCCTCTGCTGCAGAGGAGTGAAGTGGGCTCATTTCCTTTGCCATTTTAACAAAATTTTAGGCAGCTCTTTCAGTGTCTATGGATGGGGAGGAGGAGAGAGAGGTTCTCCCTTCACAGAATCACACACAATCACAGAATGTTAGGAGTTGGAAAGGACATAATATTCCAGATGTGGCCTTACCCTTGTGCCTTTCAGCCTGACACCTGAAAGAAGGTTCACGTTATAAAGTGCTGAAAAGGTTTTCAATTCTCTACAACATAACTTAATGTGAAATTATAGTCTTATAAAGCCTTATTGCTTACTGTTTCGTTTGTGATGCCTCTGTGGGTAGAGTGGGTGTGGGAACGTCTACTTAAAGAAAATCCAAACTACACAGGTGGAGGCCGCATCAAGAAATGACTCTTGTCTCTTTCAATGCCTAATTTAAGTATTTGTTCTTAGAGCAGAGAAAATATTTTAATATTTTAATTATTTACCAGAAATAATTTCTAGATTCTATGAAGTTTGTGTTCGTATTTTTTCTCTTTATTAGAAATTCTCCTTTCCTCTATGATGTATGTATTTCATTTTCATTTTCTGTAAGAGATAAGCACAAATTCTCCAGGGGGGCAGTCTCTCCTTGCTGTTCACAGCTACTTGGACTCATCTTGTGGAGAGCTGGATAAGAGCCTTTGTCACAGAGGGTCTTTTCCAGCTAGGGAACCACTTTTCCAATGGATTTTGGCAGCCATGGTTATTTTAGGAAGATTTCAGTGCTCTGACAGCAGCACTGTTTTCAGTCTCTTCTGAGACTTGCTGTCTGAACTGAGCTGTCTGGCTCTCGCATATACTTACAATAGGCTGCTGCTGAAGGACGCTTATTTCTAAGTCCCCTTGCTCCCAGAACTCGGCTGCTACTAGGAGAGCTACCTTTATTGCCAAGGAGAGAAAAAGAAAAGTCAGCATTGACTTTGGCATTATAACTTGATGTGATTCAAGTCACCACCATGAAGCAGATCTCAATTCTAGCCCCTCTGTTATTTCATGTCCAAATCTTGCCCCAACCCCAGCCTTTCTGCTGGGAAGGGCAGCAGTGACAGTGACACCAGGACAGTAGGAAGGGCACCCTTGTAGTGACAGCTCAACAACCTTACTGCACTGGTGCTCATTAATCTACTGCTCATCTGTTAAGAAATGTTTCCAGTGTGTCCTCCTCAAGGATTTGCCTCTTGGTCACGGCTGTGACTGTCTATTTTGATTTCTCAGTTGTCCTTTCTCCATGCTGAACAGGTCAGGTTTATTTCTTCTATTCTCCTTTAAACATAGTGTTTCTTACCTAGCAATTTCTCAAGTACAGTTCAGGAAGGAACTCCTAAAGAAAATCAAGAAACTAAGCAAACAGCAGGTATTACTGTAAAAAAAACAACTCACATGTTTCATGCAAAGCACCTTGCTGTAACCCAAGAAGCTAAATGCTTCTTTCTTTTATTTTCTTCCTTTGGTAAACATGAATTTTCTAGAAAATTCAATATTACCATCTTAAAGAGTTATTTGTCTATCAAAAGCACAGTTATTCTAAAGTGCTTTTGGTAGTTTTGGTAGGAGGCTTTTATTCAGCTTCTAGGCAGATTAGGAAATTGCATTATTTTGAACTATAAACTAGATAAATCTAAGTATATCAAGCACCTGACCTTACTCTGGACTTCCCAAGGCTTTGTGATTGCTGACAAATCACATGCAGTCATCATCATGGCCCTAAAAACAGGAAAGATATTAGTTTCTTCTCTACAGCTTGCACTCTCATTCTTGCAGGCTCAGGATGCTGTGTCAGTGACAGATAAAGATGGTTTGCCCTGTCTCTGACTGGGACGCTCATCAGAGATCACTCTTTTGATTAAAATGGATATATGCTAGGGAACTGCTTGCTTCTGGCACTAGATTGTTTGGTGCTCTAGTCATTGCTGGGCTGAAACTCTGACTTCGGAGCAACATCTTTGGATCCCTCATGGAAGTGTAGCAGTACAGACTGCAGTGAGGTTGTCAGTGGAGCTCATTGCCAAGTGTCCTGCAAAGCAGCTCTCTGGTCACAATAGCGTTGTTTAACTTAGATTGGTTGCTACCAGGAAGAGGAAATAGTGGTCTGGGTTTCTGCAGCCTGCCCTTGCTTGTGGCATACAGTGTGTTCTCATAGAAGTGTATGGCCGGAAGGGATCCTACATCTCATTAGGAGCATATGACCAGAAGGACACTCCAAAATTAGTCACTTATCTGAATGAAGAACCACTTTAAGCTTTTCCCCCTGGTTTTCCCCTGCTTCTCCATAAGATCAGATTTGAGAGGCCAGTAACGTATCATGTGCTGATTTTGCAGCAAGCGCAAAATAATGCATGTTCTGAAGCTGTCACCAGGGTACCACATCACTACCCTTTCCAGACCCAGTTACTCACATGACGACCTCTTTCTTTGTTGTTTCCAGAGACAGGTATTCGGTCCAGGCAGTTGTGCTATCATAGGTCTTGGACTCATCAACAATCTTTTGAAACATTGTTCTCTTTCTTTGAGGGGAAAAAAATAAGAAAAAGAGATGGCTTCAAAACAAGGAAACACATGTGTTAAAAACAGATGGCTGATCCTGGTATTCATAAACCTTCCAGAGGCGTTTCCAGCAGTTGCTCTCCTGGCATTTATGTCTTCGGTGTAGCCCCAAGCAAAACCAAGAACCATCACCTTCTTAAAAGTAGGTGAAACTATTGTAAATTACTTAAAAATGTATAGTGGTGAGACCTGAGCAGGAACTTTAAAGTATGTGCTACTGCAAGTTATGTCCCCTGAGAAATGCTTCCAGCTTTGACAGCATAAGAATGCTTTGCCCTGAACATGAAGCAAATTGTGGAAAACTAGAGATGGCTGGAGTTTTGTAAAGCTACCTGGCTTTATACACTTAGTCTGACTTTGATAACCTTCTTTGTATAGCTAAATATATGTAAGAAATTCTGGAGAGGGGTTTATACAAAACACACCCATGTTTTGAGTGGTGTGAAATCTGAAAAAAATCTGCGGTTTCAATGCTAAGAGAAAAGACATTTAGGCCAGATCTATAAAGTGACCTGTGTTCATATAATTTTGACTGATCTCATCAAGACTTTGCTTGCAGACTGTGGACCAAGGTGGGGAAAGACTGTTTTGTTCCCATCTGGTAAGGAAGTGGTAGTATCTGCTCCCATGTAGTCACCCTACTTCCAGAGTATTGCGTCCTTCCTCATATTCCTTTTTTTTGTGGACTGCTTATATTTTACATAACCATTCTGCAGTTCACAACACAGAAGCAGTCTCTGACCTCAACACTGTGTTTTGAAAGCACGCTTTGAAAGCTCCTTGCTAATCAGGAAGCAACATGTTGTTGAATTCTAGCCTTATGTAGTAGGAAGTCAGCACATGCTAGTCCAGGATGTTTGGCAGTTTTGGCTTTTGTTTGTGAAATAGACTATGAACTGGATATTTGCATATAATGGACCATTTGTTTCTTGTGTTGTGCTGCTTTCCCAGAGAAGTTAGCGCAGTCCTGACCAGAAAATGAGACACCTCTTTCTGTTAGGGGATCATATAGCACTCCCCTGTTGGGAATAGAGGGTTAAAATGGTCACATGTGTGATCTAATAAGTCAAAGTTCAAAAATCTTTTGAATTATTTGAATTATTCCCACCAGCTCTGATGTCAGTATTAAAGGCAGCCTCCCAGAGGCAGTATCTGTAAAGAGCATTGCTGCATGGGTGGACTCAGAGCAAACCATCACATTTTGCCCTTGTAAAACACTGTCTGCTTTCTGCCCTTCACACATGGTGCAAGTGACCAACTTACTTGAAATAGAGTGCCAGGTCTGTTGCTATAATGGCAATTTCCATCAGGTGAATCATGTGCTCATGCTGTCTGCGGTTGAGGTTCTGACATATATTCAGCGACTGAAAAGCAAAGGAAAAAGAGCTGCAGAGTCCAAGCACCGTGTTGTTGTGAGTTCCTTGCCGTATCACTTTCTCAAATGTGTTCTTGTCTTCTTTTTTCTTTTTTTTTTTCAATAGCTTCAGCCCGCTCCCCTAAGGTGCAGGCATTGTGAGCCCTGTTCACCATATGTGGGTACCAGGTCTCCCCTTTTGTTCCCTGAAGAGGGTCAGTGGTCTTATACGTGTAACACAGTGTATGCTCAAACTCTGGCCCTGGCCCCAGTGTTAATTGCCTGAAATGAAAAAGTATCAGGAAGAGTGTGTCAGCCATGGCCCTGTCAGAGGGGCTACAGGAAGGCTATCCTGTATTCTTATATTTATCATATTCCTATGAGGATAACAACATGGCTTCTGAAGAAATCAAGACATACATTTAGGAAGTCCTGGGTGAGCACAGAGCACTTGAGGCAACTGCAGTTCCTCAGGTATCCAAACCAGAGAAAGGTCATGTGCTAAGCTGATAACATCTCTGAAAATAAATTATTCATGTTCTTACACTACAATTCATTACCAACCTCTTCAGAAAGCAAGAATTTTCCAAATTCCAAGTGATGTCTCTCTAAAATTGAGGATCCGTGAAGTTTGGCTAAAGGATTTTGAGACCTGATTGTGTAGAGGAAAAATGAAAGATATTATTATTGTGACACTTGAAAATAAAAATAAGTCTTCCATATATTTAATTTCATTACACAGGCAAGTTCAACTCATTTTAAAAGGCTTAAGAGTAGTATTTTTAATAACTAAAGACTTCTGTGACACTGCTTGCGACTATTTGGACACTGTATAAAGCAGTTTTCCAACTGCAAATTTCACCCAAAAAGTTGTTTATAATTGGGCTGTTACTACTCAGCATAGTAAGCCTGTTTAATTCCTGAATAACTACATGGTGATATCTAGTAATAGCTACAGTAAAAACAGCTTTCCTAGCTGAAAAGTAAAATCCTCTTGTACCCAAAACACTAGTGAGCCACACTTAAATTTTTCCAAAGCTCCAGAAAAGAGTAAGACAGGATAGCCAGCAAGCATTGAAGAAGAGCTGTGATCTGGCACTGCTTTAAGTGAGCAACAGAAGACTGACTGGTCAATGAAAATATGCAGCTGTTTTTCTGTAGCTAGTAACTACCTACTGAGAACAGCACCTATTCATAGGTGCTTTGTTTCTGCAGATGTTGAGGGCACTGTTATGCGTGGTGCTTTCTCCATAGATACCTTCCAGCAAAAAGTAGGCTTTGTATGCCATGGATGCTCCTGGTGGCATCCTGAGTCTCCTATGATGCTCAGGCTACTAAATGCCTGTGTGGCACTCGTTCCACCCTGTAATGGTAATGTAGAGTGTTGCTTTAACCAAAGGAGGCTTGCGGGGAGATAAAGCAAGCCTTGGAGAGCACTGCAAAATTTTAGTTTACTCAATGGCCAAGGTATAAACCCAAATGCTGTGGAAAGTTAAAAAAAAGTTGTTTGCGAAAGAAGGTTGTTACCCTGTATATAAAGTAGAGCTGTACTGGAGATTTGTGTGAACACAACCTGATCCCACTCCACCCAAGAGCAACAGTAAGTGGTTTGAAGCGGCAAGAAAGTGCTTACTTCATTTGGTAAAGGTTGTTGGTTCCCCTGTGGTCAATATCATGGCACAGAGCAGCAGTTACCATTGCAAGGGCCTCAAGGTCTGTGTAGTAACGCTTCAGTTTGCCAGTCTAGAGGGTGAAAATTTTCGTGTCATCTGTTAGTATCACTTTCAGAAAAGGCAGCAAGCTGTGAATGCTCTGTGCTGGAGATCTCCTCCTTGTAACAATCCAGGAGAACTAAAAATTGTTGTGAAGCTAAATACAAAACACTGTACCCTTAGGTTAAAGTGAGGAAGCAACTGGAAGAAAAAACATTTCACACTCAGGTGGACATTCATGTCATGCATATATGCTCGATGCCCACCTGTGATATCAGCTGCCCACAGCTATAGCAGCCCCGTGCACTAAGGAGACCTAAGGTCCTTGTAATCTTGAGGCTATTTAACATGATACACATGTGTACCTCGGAGCATTACAACACTCCATTCATTGGGCAGTATTGGCTGTAGATTTAAATGTAATGCAAGGGCTGTTGCATAAGGCAAACAGAGACCTCAGAACCTGTGGTAGGAGTGACAAACTCTTATCCCATTCCAAGGTCCAAAGGGAGCCTTGCATACCTTCAGCGCACAACAGAATATCTCCTGTAAATAAAGCTGTGCCACAGAATTAACTGGGGTGTTGTTACTTTACCATCAGGAGTGTGAACATGGTTTGTGCAACGTTGAAGCCATGGCGCCAGTTGTGGTAAGTTATCTTCCGGTAGCCTTTGCTGACAGAGTATACAAACCTTACCAGAACCTGCAAATTGGGGAAGAGAATGTTAGTCTGTGCAATAAAGCCGTTACCTCTTACTCTTGCAATATAGACCACATACAGAAGTCATGGATGAGCTACAGAGCAGCTCTACAGAGGTGGCTCCAAAAAGGAACAAGAAGCTGTAATGTCATTAGGCTCCCCTGATGGTGTTGTTATAGTAAAACCTAGTCAAGAACTAAAAGGAAGCTAAAACATAGCTCTCTGCTTCCTAATACCTTTCTTTTTTCAAAGAAAAAGTAATCACGGAGATGCCTATGGGGCAATAAGAAAAAGCAATGCCCAGAGGAAAAGATATTTCATGCAATCTTTTGCGAATTTATTGAAGTTATGTGTTTTAACGTGTTGTCACTCATAAGATTTGTCCCTCTCATGTCTTGTGATTTACAAATACTGATACCTCTCTTCAAGAGATATAGCTCCATAAATTTAGAGATGTGTGGTATTTATATCACCCAAACAATTGCAACATAGGGCACTAAATAACAAAGTGGGTTTTCCCCGCATATTCTACTTCTCCATATGTACTCCCTCTTGAAGCTATATAGGTTTTCTGATTAGAGGGCAGATTAGACGTGGACGAGCACTCATCTTTTAAAATCTCAACTCCTCAGAGTGGCAGCAAAGAATCACTGCTTTTCACATCTCTGTCAGGAATTAGTTGTTCTCGAGTAAATATTTTGAATACTCTTTGATATTGACATGCTATAAGTAAGAAGCACAGAGAAGATGCTGCCTGGTTGTGTAGTGATGCGGTCAGGAAGGCCAAGGTGCGGCTGGAGCTAAATTTGGCAAGGGGTACAAAGAGTAACAAGAAAGGCTTCTACAGTTGTATCAACCAGAAAAGGAAGGGTAAAGAAAACATACCACTCCAATGAGTAATACTGGCAAGACGAGGAGAAGGCTGAGGTTCTCAACGTTTTTTGCCTCCGTCTTCACTGGCAACCCCTCTCCTCACACCTTCCGAGTTAAAGGACCACAAGATGGGGATCAGGGGAACAAAGTCCCTCCTGCTCTAAGTAGAGACAAGGTTTGTGACCACTTGAGGAACAAAAACATACAAAAGACTATGGGACTTGATGAGATGCATCCTAGAGTCCTAAGGGAATTAGCTGGTGTAGTTGCAAAACCACTCTCCATGATATTTGAAAAGTCCAGGCAGTGAGATGAAGTCCCTCATGAAGGGAAGAAGGTAAACAGTACACTCATTTTTAAAAACAATAGAAAGGAGGACCCTGGGAGCTACCAATCTGCCAGCCTCATCTGGACTTTTGCAAGGCCTTTGACACAGTTCCACACAACATCCTTCTCTCTAAGTTGAAGACACACAGATTTAATGGGTGGACTGTTCAGCAGATAATGAATTTGTTGGATGGTTGCATCCAGAGGATAGTGGTCAATGGCTCGATGCCCACATAGAGATGGGTGACACGTTGTGCCCCTCATGGGTCCATGCTGCAACCAGTGCTGTTTAATATCTTCATTAATGACACAGGCAGTGAGATGGACTGCACCTCAGCCCGTTTGTAGATGACACTAAGCTGAGTGATGCGGATGATATGCCAAAGGGATGGGATGGCCTCCAGAGGGACTTGGACAAGCAGGAGAAGTGGGCCCATGTGAACATCATGAGGTTCAACAAGACCGAGCGTGAGGTCCTTCACCTGGGTTGGGGCAATCCTCATTATCAATACAGGCTGGGGGATGATGTTGCTAGAGAGCAGCCCCAAGGAAGAGGGACTTGGGAGGGTGTTGGTGGACAAAAAGCTGGACATAAGCCAACAACGCATGCTCATAGCCCAGAAGGCCAATCACATTCTGGACTGCATCAAAAGAAACGGGCCCAGCAGATCGAGAGAGATGATTCTGCCTCTCTGCTCTGCTCTGGGGAGACCTCATCTGGAGTACTGTGTCCAGCTCTGGAGCCCCCGACACAAGAAGGACGTGGACTTGTTGGAACAGGTCCAGAGGAAGGCCACAAAAGTGATCAAAGCACTGAAGCACCTCTCCTACAAGGACAGGCTGAGAGAGTTTGGGTTGTTCAGCCTGGAGAAGGCTCTGGGGAGACCTTATAGTGGCCTGCCAGTACCTGAAGGGGGCCTATGGGAAAGCTGGGGAGGAACTGTGCACAAAGGTGTATAGTCACAGGATGAGGGCAATGGTTTTGAACTAGAGCAGGGTAGATTTAGATTAGACATTAGGAAGTTCTTTACAGTGAGGGTGGAGAAACACCAGAACAGGTTGCCTGGAGAGATGGTGAAGGCTCCATCCCTGAAGACATTCAAGGTCAGGCGTGAAGGGTCTCTGAGCATCCTGATGTAGTTAAAGATTCCTGCTCACTGCAGGGGCCTTGGACTAGATGACCTTTAGAGGTCGCTTCCAACCCAACACATCTGTGATTCTGTGATTCTATGAAAATGCTTCCCAGCCTGCTATTGAAGAATGAAAATTCTTCCTGCAGTTACCGCCAGATCCCACCAGATGGAGATAAACCTCACATGATGTGCTGAGAAACGCCCGGGGGAGCAGCAGAGCTGCTGAAATGCCAGTGTCCTAAGTCCCACATGGGCCTCGACTCCGGCAAAGGCCGTGAACTTGCACATCAGGGGCTACGGGGCACTTATTCCCACAGGATGACACCGCTCTGTTCGCCAGCAGTGAGGAAGCTGGTACCAACTGCACCAAAAGGAGCCGTGTCCATTCTTGTTTGCAAGGGAAGAAAAGCAGAGGGACTTGCCAGCGTGGTTTTCAGCATACGTTGGCTGAAAGCTACAGGCTATGTTGTATAGTAAACGAAACATGCACACAAGTATACACTGCCCGGTGTTGCAGCTGGAAACCGTGCTTTTACACTGCAGCTGTGACTAGCGTTAGACACCGCAAGTGCAAGTAATTTTCTGCATGGTGTAGCCCTAATCTATAGAGGCACAATAGCAAACCCACACCTGTAGCAGAGAGTGAAGAGCAGAGGAGACTAGCTTCACACTCCAACCTGCATATAGCAACCAGGGGCTTTGAGAACGGGTTCCTTGCCCTCAGTGGGGTGAAGGGTCTCAGGACACACACCTCACTCCTTGCAAGCCCAGTCCTCTGGCCACTCCATGAGCTGCACAGGAAAAGCATGGGGACCTCAGCCATGGGGCAAGTCTGCTGTCAGACCAAGATAGGAGTCACTGTGTGTTGCCAGCTCCTACCTCCTGTGGGATCTGGAATTTTTTCACCACTCCAAGCTCATAGTACATCTGAATGCCACACTTCACCAGCTCTAGCTCAGTGCAGTCAAAATCAGAGAACCTGAACTCATAGATTTCGAACTTGGTGGGCCCCGGGAGTTCTTCTTTCTGTAAGACAGGTAAGATAATTTGTTGCTGTGCCACTTATGCCATACCTAGAAATATCTGGAATTGGTTTTGCATAATAAAAAATTATCAGTCTGCTTTGAACTTTTCCTTTAAGAATGTAACACAGAGTGAAATGCAGCTTTTCATGATAACACCATTAATAGGGGAAAAGGGGAGGTTCTGGTCAAGTACAATAAATATTGCTTATTTTCTGTTCATAACTTTTCTTGTTGATCTGATATAGTCTGGAGATTCCAAACTCGACAGGTCTTAGAGGGGAAGACTTACAGACCTCCACACTTATTCCAGAGAACAATATGCATGAAAAATCAAGGTGGCTGAGGTGTTTCCAAATGGACTTTGAACCACTTGAGATAAAGTGGCAGAGAGCAGGTAGTCCCAAGGAACTGGGGAAGGCATTTGCTGCCACCTGACAATAATCTCAAACTCACACAACAGAGGAGGGCAGAATATGCTTTGCCTTCACCCTTCACCAGGTGCCCTGTTGGTGTTTACCAGTGTGCCAACACTGGGAACTCTTCCCTGCATCCACCTAGGCCCTGTTTGTTGCCAGGGCTGTCCATTCCAGTGGAATATTGCTCTTACCAGGATGCTTGCCAGCTCCTCTTCTTCGCACTCACTTGGCTCCTTCCCCAGCTTTTCTCGTGTTGGCTGCAAAGAGCATTGATGTGTTAAACTGACGAACAAACCCCACTGGACTTTGCACTGTGCAGCTTTTGGACTATCAAAGGCAGCTTTCATACGCAATTTTTATTTTCTTCCTGGACCTTAATTTTATTTCTGGTCTTTCAACTCATTCCTCCTGGTAAAATTGTTCTCCCTCTGCTTGACTTTGATTTGTGTTTCCCTCACTTGCAAATGCCCCCTAGAATCAATGTCATGGGTGAGTCCACTGACTCCAAATCCTCTGCACTTAGGAGGTTTTGGGGAATACATCAGCTCTTCTTCTATACTTACAGACCTGTCCTGAGCAGCACCTGTGTGAGCCCAACTCCAGGGTTGACTCCGCTGAGAAAATTAGAAGGCACACAGCGTGGCAGTGTGCTGAGTTGGAGAGCAGACTGCAGAGTCATAAGAAAGACTTGTCCTGCTGTTGTGCAGTAACTGGGGCCCCAAATACTGCCTCCACCTCCTCCAGTAGTGGCTGGGAGCATTTCTGTGGGATGGGACACTGTGCCTGTGCTGTAAGTCATGGGCCAAGCTAGTACACTTGGGAGTGTGCTGCACATTGCGAGGCATTACCAGAATTTCCTGGATTTCATCCTTGTCACATTTCACATGGTAGAGCACCATATCCTGAGCAATGTCCTTCCGGTTCTCCAGTTTGTTCATCTTATCATATGTGTCTGTGTTGAGTACAGACCAACCCAGGAACTGTGTCAAGGACTTGGTGAGGGGAAAAGAAGGAAATGGTAAAATAACCAAAATATCTGTTCCTCAAAGACACAGAAATATAACACCACATGATATATTTTTAGGAAAACACAAACTACACTTTGGCCAGAAGTCTAGCAGTGAGCAATTGTGTGTTTGCTCCCAGCTGCTACTTGCTCCTCAGCAGAGCACGTCTCCAGCTTTTGAATCTGGCTACACCCCCAAAGCATCTATGGTGTGGAAATTTGCTCTGTCTGGTTCAGCGTACAGAAAGCTATTTCTATGTTGTTGCAAGTGTCTCCATGCCTGTAGAAATGCTGGTGATACAACGGTGACAGCGGGTCAGCAATCTTTATATCAAGGGAGAGAAAGGTGGTCTCATCACCTTGCACATATGTTTACTCACACACTGTGTTTGATATCCACCTTGTTTGCTGTCTACTGGGCAATTCAAACAATTTTCTTTTTTCACAGTCTTTTTCTTTGATAAGTCTATTTTAGGAAACGTTCTGATTGGTAACAGATGCTAAGAGCTGAATTCCTATATTGGATTGAAACTAGCATTTCTAAGCCATGAGGTGTTTAATTAGAGTTGCTGTTGGTAGATCCAATAGTTGGCCACCCTTGGTATCTTAGCTACGAGACAATTTCTGTGCAATTTCTCAAGGGAGTTGCCCAACTAGTGTAAGCCAGCTGTCTTGTGTGTGAATACAGGTCAGAATGGTCATGTTAGTACATTATAGCTGCTCCTAGCTAGGTGTCTAACCCAAGAATGCTGAAAAAAAGTGATGTGACACAGCTGGGTCTCCAAGACCAAAACCCCCAGAATTTCATGTATTTCATAGCCGCTTTCAAAACTTTTAAGTCCATGCATAACACCTCTATAAGCAATGAAGAAACTTAGCTGCAAAACACTGAGGGATGATGTGCAGATGTACAATGAGCAATAGTGACCCCTCTCGACGTTCAAAACCCACTAGGACATGTTCCTGTGTGATCCTGTGTGACTCTGCTCTGACATGGGGATTGAACTAGGTGATCTTCAGAGGTCCCTCCCAACCCCTACCATTCTGTGATTCCGTGATATGAACTACTTCCAGCCATAGCAAGGAACTATACCTCCATGAGGGTCTCGTCTTGTTCATCAAAGGGTTTCCCATCTTTTCTGTTATAAAATGTGACAACACCAACAATTTCTTCCTTTTTGTTGACTATTGGCATGGAGAGAACATTTTTGATAGTCCATCCTGATTCATCTAGAGGACCTTCCTTGAAGAAATACCAAGCAGAAAGACACCATGTACTTAATGTGTTTTCTAAATACATCAGCACTCCCATCTTACATCAAGAGTACAAGTTAAAGAAGTATTTATATGCCTAATATTAACTCTAAATAACATTTCAGCAAATGAAGAATCCTTGGGACTGGAAGTTTTCACAGTACCTGAAAGTTAAACATCTCATCTGCAGCAGCATTCATAATGTTGCAAATCTAGGGGATCACACAAAAGAAGAAGTTTTACAATATGGCCAGTGAGAAGTTTAAATGCCAAACCAAAACACTGAATTGATGAGAAAGCAGTGTTAGTATGACTTCATCTCAGAAAGCCTTGATGAAGCCTAGGCTGAGTACTTACAAACCCACTTTCAGCCACGTAAGTTGGCAGTCCAGTAACTAGTGCCCAGTGATCTGGGGTAGGATTTCTGAATGAAAGAAAGACATGTTAGGTAAATTAAGGCTCTGTGTTTAGTGAAGAATGATCAGGGAGCTGCATTGTACCTAGTTGACTGCATAATCCAGGTTTACAGTTACTAACTACACTTGTTACTTTCAATGGACCCACATGTGCACACACGGATTCTTCACTTAAGTAAATTCTTTTCCTTCAAGGATTCAATATAGAATAATTCATAAATCATTATTGTCTGCAGAGATGTAAGAAAAAGTAATTCCTGAGAGCAGGGGCTACATTTCAGACCTTCAGCATAGAGAAAGATAAAAGAAAGTTCCTGGCTAGGGTTGTCTACCAGCCTGAACTTTTGAACACTGTGGTACCTAAACAATGGGAGCCCTTCTTGCAGCATTTACACCAATGCAAAGTGGTGTGACCAGAACTGGGTGAAAATCTTGTTATGTCAGATTTATCTAAGGTGCCCAAGGCTTCCCTGAAAAATTCAGTGGCAAGAAGAGAGACTGGTTTTCAGAAGAAGGGTGTTTCGATGTGGTATCAAGAGAGGGGGAAAGGCCAGAGGTAGTCTTGAAGTGGGGTCAGTCACCAACAGGTAAGGGAGGAGTAAGGAAGCTGGAACAGGCATGGGAGTAGGAGTGACCATGAAAGGCCAGGAGGGTAGCAGAGTGGTGAGGGGAAGGTCTTGAACAGCAGGTACCTCAACACAAGGGCAATCTGGATGGGCTTACCCACTGGCACAGGGAGGACATTAAGGAGGACTGATGCCTCAGCCTGACAAGGAGAGTGGCAAAAGCGCAGTCAAGCAATTCAATTCTGCATCTAAAAAGAACCACTATTTGCAGTGACTTTTGAAGTCTGACTTGCACGTCAGGATCCCAACCACACTGGAGGAAATCTTTATCCCACAGAAAGATGAAAAGCACCAACATTCTGGCTCTCTGCTCAGCCTTCAGTCAGTCCTTTGCGTATTTCTCTATGAATGTCTTTTGATCATGGAGAACCTTGGCTTTAACTACATTCTGTGTCAATACCCAGTATACAGAAACAAGGCACTTACGGGATGACTTTAATGTCTTCTTTTCCATGTAGTATATAATCAATGACCTTGTAAAAGACTATTTCCTACAAATAAAAAGAATAGTGGTGTTAAAATTAGTGGTGAAGCAATCCAGCCAGACAAGAGAGAGTTTATGAAATCTGGTTCTCACGTACCCTGCCATCTGGGGTGCGAGGTCCTGAGTAGGGCGGAACTTCTCCAAGCAGGACTGGCCACAGGTCAAAAAATTCCTGGTTTTAAAATGAAAGAAGTATTTTTAGAGTAGGAAGGTCCGTTCTGCCTTAAGCCTCAAAGCAACCACTGTTCTTCCATGCTGTTTTGGTATTGTGTAAATAAGACATGAAATAATAAGACTGGCTCAACACTAGGCAGCAGAATGATACATCTAAATCAGGAAGTGTCAGGTGCATCGTATGGCTGCATATAGTCACATATTGCCTATACACTGGATGCTGCTTCATTCAGTGAACAGCAGAGACTATACTCACACAGCAAATAACTATGTCAGTATTTTATGTGTTCTTTATTGTCCAGAGCGTGACCATAGGGTTATTTTACTACTACTTGCTAAAGTGAAAGATTTTCTTCTCGTTATTTTCTTAGGCTATATCGTAATACTGATCAGAGTGTCTTTAGCACACCAGTGATCTTTCAGTACCCCTCTTCACAAGCCAGCATGCTCTAAAGGCTCTGGTAATATGATAGAGATCAAAGTTCATGGTAGCCTCAGTCTGCCTGACCACTGATTTGCATGATGGAATAAAAAAAAAAACGCCAACCAAAGCAGGAACAATAACTCAAAGCTAGGCTGCACTTTGGCTGCCCCAGTAAAACTTACCTTCACACATCACCCCGCAGTGGATAGCAGAAATGCAGAAAAACATACAACACACAGGTGAACACTCACCTTCTGCTTTGTCATGTCCAGTAGGCCTACAGAGTACCGGTCACAGTTCAGGTATGCTCTCACTGTATAAAAAGCCTTGTGGAACTGTCTTTCAATGTCTGTCAGTTCCTCAAAAACCTTATTAGCTGACCACAACAGCACCTGCAGGATAAAATACAAATGTAAGCACAGCCTGTCCTTGAGACCTGGCCTTGCCAAATGTTTCTGAAAAATACAATAGTAATTCATACTGAAAAACATAAAAGCATTGCTTATTCACACTATAGATGCATTGTGAGGAAGAGTCAGGTCATCATGGAAGGCTATGTAAAAGTCCAGTCTTACAAATAGTGCAAGAAAGTAGTAGTGCCAGATAAAGAGATAGCCCCACTTACATTGTATACCCATAAGTAAAATCCTGCATCCCGAAACAGTTAACACCAGAACGGTTGCAAATTACAAAGGCTCGAGTTGGAAATATCTGGACTGACACTTTCCTCAAAGCCTTTGTGCAGCTTTGTGTGCTTTTCCCCATCCTGTTCTCTGCAGATGTACCCTTAAGAAAGCAGCTGCTATTAGGCTCTTTCATTTGTGAAAACTGAGGTTATACAGTGAACTGGGCAAGTATTTCTGGTGGCACAAGGAGAGTCCTTGTGGGCCTAGGGGAGAACTCAATTTTCTCTGAAATTCTAAGGAAGCCATCTATTCAATTGCCTATCTTAGCTAGTGCACGTGTGCCTGCATCTGAGCGTGTGTGCTTTACTTTCCAAGCCTAGGATACATGAGGAGCAGTGCTTCAGAAACACTGAGACCTGCTACCTGAAGCTGACTGGATCTGTGATTTGAAGAAGTAGTACTGTTACATGGCCACAATCAGGAAAAATGTGTCTCACCTCCTCACTGGGCACTAGTATACATTTTTGACAATTATGAGCTGCATCAGTCTCTGATTCTAGCTCAGTAAATTGGGACATCTCTGCCTGAGGTGTTCGATGTCATTGACCTCTGAACATTTCTCAGATAGATAGTGGTGGTGTCATGCAAACCGACAGAGGAAAATGAGCAATGGCTTCTTTTTGGCACTTTATAGCATGCAATAAATAATGCTGAAAGTCACAAGCCAGCTGAGGAAGACTGAAAGAAACATCTGCAGAATGGCCAGTTCACGGAACAGTACAAAGAAGATGGGCAAAATGTGTTGCATGGTCTTCTAATAGGAGTCTTACACAGTATCTGAGCACAAACAGACTGAACTGGCTTTGCACAAGCCACTCTACTTACAGCACCCCCCAGTCTTTGCAGCTGGGATTTGCAACATTAAAATCCTAGACCACCTTTGAGAATGTAATTTGCTCACTCTTTTGTAATTTCAGGTATAACACAATGAGCCATATGAACTCTTGCACAGACCTTTAGATCTAGATGGTCAAAGATTTTCTAGTTGAACTGTTGGTAGTACCCTTTCTGTGGGTTCTGTTGATGTAGCAGTGATATATCAACACAGATTAGAGGATTCTGTGGGAGACATTAGGCCTTCCACGTCTTGGGCTGCCATTTTGTCTTCTATCACTTTTCTTACCTCCCCCAGTCCTACTGATAAATCCTCAACAGAAATAAACCTTCACTAGTTCTAGTTTAGTTGAATTACTCAGCACTGCTAGATGGCTGTACTACCTGAGTATCACTCATGTTTTCGATTTCTGAAAAAACAGTTGAAACACAGGAAATAATGAATTAGCAAATATAAGTACTGTCCCAAATCTTCTAAAATAATTTTTAATTCCGCATCCATTTTTCTGAAACTGGCATTTATCCCCCGTGGGAACCCTTACTGGAGACAAGAGAATAGCTGCCATGAAAAATAGATGCAATTGCATGTCCTCTTCAACGACAGTCAGTTGTTTTCTGCAGAAAATGCTTACATAGATTCACATCCATCCCAATAAATGCAAGAACCATCATAACCCAACTCATGGAAAAGAATGGCAGCTGAATTGTTTCAATTTGGAATACCCTAAAACCTTCTTCTATGGTAATTTCTACTGAGGGAGGCCAATACTGCAGACATATGAGAATCATTCTGCTGGCACTAAGAAGAAATTCAATAGCACTTTTACATAAGCAGGTAAGAGAAAAATACCACATCCTTAATTGTTTTGGGAAATCTCTTGCTGTTATTGGCCGAAGTGGTTAAATGTTTCATAGCCTCAGTTCAACAAAACATCTGGAACTCAATCCTGGTGAAGCTGGCGCCATCGTGTCAGCTCCTGCAGTTTTGCCAACAGCAGCAGGAAGAGAGACTAATGAAGGATTCTGGGGAAGGAAAAGTATCTGAAAGCAGATGAGGACACCTTTTTCCTTCTGCTCTTCAGGCACAAATCTTTGAAGCAGATCAGCTACACTTCTGAAACCAGAAGAATGCAGTAATCTGATTTTGAGATACAGCCCAATATGCATTTTCACTCTTACCTGGCCTCTTCGAGTCTCACAATTGTGAAGATAACTCAAGTGATAAATTTTCAAGTTCAAGGAGGCAAAATTCAAGTACTTCAGAAAAAGCTGAAAAGGCAAACAACAAGATTGAGTTGAATGCAGTAGCAGCCTTGTGCATACTGAATTTCATAATACCCCTTTAGCAACGTCATGGTAATTCCCCTGGATAAATGCTTCGCTTTGCACTGGTGTGAGATGAGGCTTATTCCACTGTAAGTTCTCTGAAAGATTTCTGAGATAAGCATCCTCATACTAAGCCTCTTCTGTTAGAGGGAGAGTCCTCCGTAAGGGAAATTTGCACCAGTGGATCTTCACTAAAGCAGATATCCATAGTGTAAAAGATTTTGTGTTACATGGCAAAAGCAACAACTGCTTGACAGAAACTGAGCTACTGACCACTTACTGTTTCATCAGAGCTGGTGAAGTGTGGGCCGTTTTGCTTATTAATAGCCAAAATGACAGCAACTAAATCTTTGCCATTCAAGATGGGTGTCGCAAGGATGCTTTTTGTAGTGTAGTCGGTGAGCTCATCAACAAATGGACTGAATTGGGCACACTGTTCAATAGAGAATTTACAAATTAGGCATTTTCGACAGTATCTGTAGTCTTAAAACCAAGTTAAAGCACAGCTTCTCAAAGTAAGCTGCCTGAAGAGAGATTTGCTTAAAAAATTATTGAGGAAGATAAATGAATTAGCATAAAATTGGACAACAGGCAGGTGATAAAGTTAGTATCAAGAGAAATGACTGTGGCTTCTGACTGCACAGGTGCACTTTTTCAATTTTTGCAAAGGTCTTGCAAATCATAAGCTTTAACATGTCAAACTATCTCAGAACAAGGACAATCTCCACTGGTGATTCTCAGATCACTGACATCCTCTGTAGTACCATCTCCATCCTCTCCTCCAACTTCTTGTTAACACTGTGAAGTGGGTGCAGCCAATTATCATGCAGCACTCTACAGCCACAGTCAAACCACTGCTGTCTGATATAGTCACTCAAAAGTTCACTCACCCTCATTTTTCTTCTGGTATTGCTTGGGCCCTGAAGCTGCCATCAGCTTGCTGCCTCCATGAAGACATCTACCCCTCCTTTTTCTTGAAAATATTCTCCCAGGCATTCCCTCCCATGTTGCTGGGCCTTTGTGCATGAGACAATGGGTGGCAGGGAAGGTGTCGCAGTGGCGGAGGCAGCTGACACCAGGAGCATGTGATTCCTGGCACTCTCCTCCTGCCTCTGAGAGCAACCCATCCCCTTCTGCCACAGGAGTATTTTGGCAGTGGTTGCAATGTGCAGGCAGCACTGCTGTGAACCGGGCTGCCCTGCGAGTTGCCTATGAGGCCATCACCTTTCAAAACACTGGGAGAGCGCTAGGTCATGCTGTATGCGTAGCACAAAGAGAACTCATCCAGTTGTTCCTTATGTGAATGTCGCTGTCCCCCATTCCAAAAGAGAACAGTGCAGAGAAAGGGTAATGTGGGGAAGGTAGGTGGCCCATCACCTTGTCTTCAAAGGGCTTGCCAATAGGGAATGTGGGGGTGGTCTTGCTGACCCAAGATCTTTTCCCTGCTCAGCTGAATAACTTCTCAGCTACAAGTTCTTCTATTTGGGTTAGAAAAAGCCCCACAACTCAGATCACATTCAGAAGGCTGTACCAGAAATAATCACTCCCTAATGCATCTTACTGCCATACATCCCCATATCTCCACCACTGCTGGCCTACCCTGTCAATTGGGGTAGACTAAGCATGGAGTCTCTGGGTCTCCTTCTAAGGAATTTTCTTGTGGCAACACCTTAAAGCACTAGGGGTGGAGTGAAGCACTTGGCTCACAGTACTGCAGTTCTTCTATATTCTTCAAGAAATGCCTGAAACTAGAGAGCTTTAAAAAGTCTCATTCTGATGTTTTCCCCCACAAAATGGCTGCAAAACCATATTAGTGTCTCTGTGGAGGACGAGGAAGTTTATGGTGAAATTTTGGGTAGTCTGTTACTGAGCAACAAATGGATAGACAAGCAGATGGCAGCAAACAATAGATGGAGTAATCCCAGATGCTATATTCGGGTCACATGGATTTTGGTTTTATACCTACAATTAGAACAAGCGGATTGTTATTGCTTCCATTCAGGCTTACATGATTCAACCCAGAAGTATGAGGGGCTAAATATTGCAATGAAGGTCTGAAGTCTGCTCCCTCTGGTTGATAAAAAGACCTCAAAACGACTTTGGCTCAAGCTTCATCAAACATTTTCAAATGTCATTTGTGTGGAAAATTCTTTCCAGACTCATTGTAAAGGAATACTCTCTTTGCCAGTTACTCATGGAATATAAATGTGTGTGGAAAATTTAATGTGGGGTCAGTGCAGATCTGACTATACCTTACTCTCTCTTGTCTGCTAGACTACATGTGATTTTTTTATTAACTTTTTCTTTTTAAGTACAGGCAAGATGTGACAGTGCACCTGTTTGCAAGCATTAACACAGTGTAACTAATGTGTTTAGATTCACTTCACTCCATAAATTAATTTGGAAGCAACTTACAGACTTGCTACTGGTGCTTTGGTTTCCACTACAAAGCTGCTACACAGCAAAAAGTTTGACCAAGCACCAAAATGTCCTGCTAACTCTTGACCCCTCTGTATCAGTAAGCATGTGAGCCTTTCTTCTACTAAGTGAATGAATAAATGGCAAACCTACCTCACTGACATCCTTGATGTTCATGGTTTTCTTGGTTTGTGCAACATAGCCCACGATGCCTATGTCTAATGGATAGACAATCTCGCAGTCCGGGGAGACCAGGCATTCCTCCAGGGTGCTTCCCTCTTGGATGTTGAAAAGCCTTGTTGCCAGTTCGGGTGTGCCATTTCTCTGCCTGTACATGAAAAGACTGCAGCGGTCTGCATGAATGAGAGACCTTATTCTTCTCAAGGTTTTGAAAACAACTTTCTCCATGTTGATGCTTTCCTGCATGTCTTGGATCAACTCAAAAAGGATTTCAGACTCATTGCTATCCCAGGACTCTGCTTTTAGTTTCTTCTCAAAGTACTGCTTGGCGAAAGCAGGGTTGCCATCAAGAAACTTCTCCACATCGTCTTCACTAATGTTCATTGTGAATGCCCTGAGTCTTGTGGCAGGTAGTAGTCCAAAGATGTGGTCTATGCAAACAGCACTCTAATTTCTGATGTAGTTCCTATATTTTTGTAGTAGACGTTGCTTCTAGAATGACCAAGAGTGAGGCAACACTGCAAAGAGAGCTTGTCATCAGGAGGAGGTATTCCTTTATAGTGCTGGAGATGAGTCTGTGGGAGGACAGATCTTCTCAACCAAACAGATTAGATGACCTCTACAAGAGCTTTGGGTCAACTTTCTTCTTCTTAAGCTAAATGCAAACAAAAACTGAACACTCACAATATCGAAAACCACTCTCCTTTCTCTTGATAAGCAGAACACTAACTGAAACAATTATACTGAGGCAGCAGCAATAGGGAAGAACTGCATCTCTTAACATTGAAATAAGCTCTTTAAAGTCTAATTAAATATATACTGCTTGGGCCTAATCCTTGGCTAACAAGGTGAGCATCTTATTATTTCTGCTCTCCTGGCTCTCTGCAATAGTAGAAAGTAAACCCTTCACAAAAGAGCACAGTGGTCAAAACAAAAACAGTGAGGTAACGCTGCTCTTTCGGGGCTCCCTCTCCTATTGTGTGATTCTTCATCTGCTGCTTTAAGGGCTGTTCTGAAATGGAAGCAGCAATCCCAAAAGCTTTATTCCAAGATTTGAAGTGAATCTGCAAGATCTGTGGCCTTTACTTATTGCTAGTAAGAACCAAGAGAGGAAAACATCTCCTGGCACCCCTTTCAGAAGGAATCTGCAGAGCTTCAGGTTGGGGTGGCTGCGTTGAAATACCCTGAAGCATCATGGGAAGCCCTGCATATGAAGAAAAATAAATAAAAAAAAAACTAAACCAGCCAGGAAGGTATAAAAATTTCCATAATCACCATCAGTGGAGAAAGGGTGGGAATTATGTCTGTGAGGGAGAGTTGCTGTTTCACATCAGTGAAGCCATCATGCTGTGCACACAACAGGTGAATGCCAGTGTCATTCTGGGAGGTAAAATGCCACAGAGGCAGCTACTCTTCAGTGGAATTAAACAATGTCCAAGGATTTTCATCACTGGGGAACAGGGGTAAGTCCCATCCACCACATTGCTGGAAGACGATCTAGGCTTACCTGCTCAAGGAGTAAAGGTTCAGGTGTCTATCCTTGAGAATGTTGGCTCTAGTGCCAGGAGTGGTGCAAACCAGCCCAAAGGTGAGTGTGGGTGCCTGGAAGGAGGGTGACAAAAGAAGGAGCTGTGGTGGCAGTGTTAGAAATGCTTATGCAAGTGAGTCTGGAGCTCAGAAGGTAGAGAGGTGGTGAGGGCCTTGGGTCCCATCAGCAGGGAGGAGAGAACACATAGCTGCTGAAAGTGGAGGTGAACACCTTCACTCAAAGCCATGGGACTAGAGTGGAAGGAGTCAAGGGAGAAAGCTTTTCAGAAGAAAACAGTGGAAAATGAGGCAAAGATCTACATATTTATTATTTACAGTTCGACTTTATCCTATTCCCTCTTTCAGTTCCCTGGATCACTGGAGATGCAGTAAAAGAGTCATTGGGTCAACTGATTGAATGTCTTCATGCTAGCATGGTAGAGACTTGCTCCAGTAATTCTTGTAGTCAATATATTAAAATAGAATTATGGCTCAAGAAAATTGGAGGATGCGGTGTGTGCCAGGGGTACATACACTGCCTCCCACGTCCATGTTCTAATGGAGGGACAAGGACTTGCTCAGTACTAGCATGGTGGGATTCTGCTACAGGTCTCCAGAATGCAGCTGGATGAGCAACAAGCAGGACTGTTCCAAGCACAGGACTTAGTGGCAGTGAGGAATTTTAATTGCCTGACATCTGTAGGGATGGCAACACTTTAGGTTGCAGGCTGTTCAGCAAGGTCTTGCATGTCTTAGTTGTTGTTGCACATCTCAATATTTCACTGATGGGCAGAAAAACGCATATTAAGCCAGCATATGATCTGCAGTCAGCTGTCTGTAAACGTGTTTGAGCATCATCTTAAAAATAAACTGCAGACAGGTGTGTACAGGAGGAAAGGATGAGAACTCACCAAGGATGCATGAAAAGCCCTACTTATGTGGAGGACAGTCACCTGGTGAATTCATGGGGATGAGTCACTCTGCAGGCTTATCATGTACTGAACATGTGTCAACTACCAGGCAGAAGGAAGTGTGCATTCATTAGGATGAACCTTCTGTTGTATAACAGATTATGCCAAGTTGTACTAAACAGATGTGTCACCTGGAAGACAGGGGGAAATGTGACCTCTGAGGAAAAACTGAGGTTTGTCATGTATCTTTTGAGTCATGTCTTTTCTAAACAAAACAGTCTCCAATTGTATAGCAAGTTACTGTTGAAGAAAAGTGAAACAGTCTGATCTCCATAGTCATGTAGGACAGGAGATTTCAGACCCACACCAAAATGGCTTCCACAACAGTGGGAAGGGATAGATAGCTCTCACCTTATCTTAGATATCCCTAGAAACAGAGACACTGTCCTTTTTTCCCAGTGAACACCTTTTGTCAGAAGTGGGGCATATGCAGTGACACCAACCTACTGGAAGTGGTATGGACAAAAAATTCTTATAGCTGGAGGGAAACATATTTTTCTGTGGATCCAGCCTCCCCTGGTCCATGGCCTCTCAGGCCAGTTATATGTGAGGAAACCATTGCTTGGACATCTGGGAAAAAATCATTTGCAGCAGTATAAACCTGCCAGATGAGAGTAATTTTGTTGATGACGGACGTACGACAATAGCTGGAGGCATCCTTCTGCCTCTCAAGACCTCCACCCCGCTATCAACCTGGGTCCTTCCAGGAGCTTGTCCTATAAAGTACAAAACTTGTTTCACAGAATCATAGAATCATAGAATGGTTTGGGTTTGAGGGGACCTGAAAGGTCACCTAGTTCTCACTCCCCTGCCTTGGGCTAGGACACCTCCAACTAGACCAGATTGCTCAATCATCCACAACAATGGACAGGAAAAAGAACTGGGTAAAGTTAAACCAATTTAAAAACTTGCCAGGGGATTTATGCATTTTGGATTCTGGCTAGAATGGTTTGGGTTTGAGGGGACCTGAAAGGTCACCTAGTTCTCACTCCCCTGCCTTGGGCTAGGACACCTCCAACTAGACCAGATTGCTCAATCATCCACAACAATGGACAGGAAAAAGAACTGGGTAAAGTAAAACCAATTTAAAAACTTGCATTTTAGATTCTGGCATCCCAAAAGAATGAAGTTTCCTATCACCTGGACTTTGAAAAAAGTCTGAAGTCTAGCTTCTCGTTTGGTCTTGCATATTGCAGCCTGGCAGTTTTTCTGATCTGGTAGACTTTCCTTGTATCAGGTCAGATTTGTGGAAGGAGAGAAGATGTCTTTGGAGTTCATAGCCATTTCCTCAAATTATTTCAATGTCCAGGAATCAAGCTGTATGAAATGGGTATCACAGCGCAGAGCTATAGTCAGAGGATGTACACAGGATGCCCTACGTCTGAACAGAAGGTCAATTGGGATAGATAACATATCGTGTTTTCCAGGCTGTATGGCTTCACTCTTTATGTATAAGCTAATATAAACAGGTTTGGTGGCTGTTTTAAGGGGTAGGCAATTTGTATGCTCTTTTGGGCTGTGACTTGTAAACTAAAAAATTGCAAATGGGTGAACTATTCATAATGAATTGAAGTTGACAATCTTTTGGATCCAAACCTCCCAAATATTCGCACTTTGTTTGGTATGTAACGTTCTGTTCAGTACAAGATAAATGTTTTTGTTTTGAAATATTTCTAAGAAAAACAAGCAGTGTCCAACAGTGACAATCCAAGGTCAAAATAGGAAAGATCCATATTCAGTTCCTTCCTCTGCACACAGGATCTGAAACTTAACCAGAACATTTCCCCTTAACAAGGGGAAAGAATAAAGATGCTGAAGTACTGAAGTTTGTAACTCCAGAAGTGGAGAAACTGAGGCAGTACTAGTTAAATGAAGCCAGGGTTGGATAACTGCAGTGCAACTGAAACCATATAGGAATGGTGGGTAGAAATATAAATCATTTGTGCAAAGGGAGCCAGCAGTGCCAGACCAAGCTCCTTGGAGAAGGGTGGTTGGCTGACATACCCAGTATTTAAAGCATGGTGCAAAGTCTGCAGGTGTTCCCTAGGCCTTCAGGGAAACTTAGGTGGCACCATGAAAGCCATTGCTGTCATACCAATGGTAACTGAGGTGGATACAGCCTAAGCTTGCAACGAGATTATGCTGTTTGATTGGACTTAGGCAGACAATAGAGGATTTTGGAGGAGGATGTGGCTGCTATTTTAGGAAACTTGCACTAGGCTGTCACACAACATAGTAATATCTGAGCACGTGTGATTGCACACATTTGTTTTTAATAGCTTTAAAAGTGAATTGCAGAGCTGGCATAAGACCTCTGCTTTGTTAGGTGTTGGTCGATGTCCTTTAAACAGTGTTTAAAATGGAAACCCCAATTGCTTAAGCTGCCCTGAAGGCTTGGCAGGTGGGTTGGAAAATGAGCTGGAGTCTCTGGGAATAAAATTCCTCCCAACAACTCACACCGCAGTGTCTCAACCAGGAAGTACACTACTAAAACCTCTCATGGTGAAGTAAAATCATCCACTCGATGTGATGAAAAATGTACTGCCCAAAGGAAGCAGTAGTTAGAGCCATTTATGGAACTGTGTCCAAATGATGAAGATGCTACCTGCAAAGCAGAAAGGGTGTTAGCAAGTGTTGGGGATGGTAGGTCTGAAGGTGCTTTTGACCCTCTTCACGTAAACAACCACAGAATCATAGACTGGCCTAGGCTGGAAGGGACCTTAGAGATCATTTAATCCAACCTCTCTGTCATGGGCAGGGACGCCTCTCAACTAGATCAGCCAACACATGGGGACCGAATGGGGACCGAACCCGTGACCTTGTTGTTATCAGCGCCATGCTCTAACCGACTGAGCTAACCGGCCGCCTAACAATGTTTTTCTCCTAATCAAGAGACTCTGGAGAGGGGAGCTGCAAGTGACTAATTTGATTAGGCATTATACTTACAGTATGCTGTATTGACAGCTACACTCAAACCTTTCTGACCCACTCATCCACTGGCATAACGGGATTGCAGCTGATCTGATTTACCAAGTAATAT